TGTGGGTATTGCCGTTAGATGTCATATTATTAAGCTGTTCCAATTATCGATTATGTGTTTTCGTTAGTGTCCGATTGATTATATCAGCGCTTCGATCGATTCGGAGTTGGCCCCAAAGGAGTCTCCCCCCTTAAGTTTCAGTTTTTTTACTTTCTTAACTATCTTCATGGGCGTAGCCAGGTTATCATTCGTGAATTTTTTCACGTTCTGAATGTTTGACAAGTAGGTCTGCTGAATTTAATTTTTAAATTACAAAAATTGTCAAATTAAAAAAACGCGTTGAATTCATGTTATCACATATAGTTTCGTTACTGTGAAAATCGCATGGTTGCAGACGAATTTTTATTTTACGTGTTAGTCTTTCGATTTCAGAAATTATACCCTCTCGATACACCATTGGAGGCAACCTTGTCTATACAACGATATCAGCCCTTTTCAGAGCTACCATACTATTATATATATATATATATAGCCAGAAAAATTTAAAAGATGTGCAAAATTTTGAATTTGTATTGAAAAAACTGGACAACCACGTTGATATTCAGTATTGATTTCTTTTGATTTATACTGAAAAAATTGCAACTCAACTGTGTACACTCAGCACCGTGGAGCCTTCGACAATAATCGATGATTTACTGTATGTCTTTACAGTTGCGCCATTCGGGACTAGCATTGCGCTTATAGAGTGCATTTAATATCATTCTGCGCTAACTGATTGGCTACTTCTCCCTTCTTTGCTATTGGCTGATCGAAAATAAGCCCCGCCCAATACCCAATTAAAGCACCAGCCAGTTGAGGATGGAAAAGTAACCGTCAAGTAACTCGCCAGACCATGACTGTAGGAAGAAGAATACACAGAATTAATTTTACACTCTTGCATGAAAAAAAAAACACTTCTTGCTTCAGATACACGTAATAAGTTTCCTGAAACGCATTTCCATTCTGCGTCTCGCCAAGAGAATAAAGAAATACGTTCGATACGGCGCAGTTTTCGCAACGAACAATTTTTCCCCCGCGGGAAAACAAAAAGTCGTGTAACGCAATAAGGAAATTTGTTTCGTGTTATTCAAATGGCCGAGGTCGGTTCTATTACCACCGGTTTTACCATCGAGACTCGTTGCGTTTTTTTTTTTGTTTAAACGACGTTTCCCTTCCCGCGAAAAATCGAATTGTAGGTGAGTAAGGAATCCACCGCCGCGTAAACTAGAAATTATGTAGCTGGAATAATTGAATTGGATAAAATCGGGTCGAATGGTTACTTTCACCTGGAATGCTCACGTAATAAGACCGAAATATTATCTCTGTACGTATGGTCGAGTTATGTCATTCTCGGGATACACAGTTTCCATCTTGGTTGCTCTACGACGCGAGAAACACGGTTGATTACGAGAAACAACATTAGCAACAAGACCAATTAAGAACATATGTATCCTTCAGAAAAAATATTACATTGACAGCTGTTTATTATTACATTCAAGACGAACAGTTACTAGGTCTCCGTTTGCGAAACCTCTGCACCTCGACCCATTTTTAAATTGCACCGATGTTATCGCAATTAATATTAATGGCACTTTCGAAAATGTTACCTTGAAAAATATAACACGAACGAGGAGTACTACTTAACGCCTGTAATTCAGGTTTTCACAGAACCGACGATTTCAGTAAATGCAGAAGGTACACTTTCCTGATTTTTCATTCTATCTTACTGGATATAGGACTCTGAATTGTTTTTGTTAATTGTCTTGCAAAAACTTATGTACAACGTATCATTCACCCATCTGTGACATTGTTCTATAGTCTTTGTTAAATATCTGCTGCCATTAGCACCAAATCCCTAGCATCCAAAACAATAGGAGCACCAAGAGTTAGAGCCTGGTAGCAATGCTAGGCCATCACCTCAAAGCGTCCTGTTTCTGATGACCTGTCGGTCCAGGGATTTTGTATCACCTAGAAACTGTTCAATCCTATAGCTTTACGTTAATAGAGGCTAAATACCTAATAAGCTCAAGTACTGGCCATTAAGACCAAGTCTTAAACATCCAAAACAGTAGGAACACCAAAAGTTAGGCCCTGGTGGGAATGCTAGGCTATCACCAAAAAGTGTCCCGTTTCTGACGATCTAACTGTCCAAAGATTTCTTATCACCTTGACTCAGTTCAACCCTATAGCTTTGCGTTAATAGTCGCTAAATACCTAATAAGCTCAAGTACTTGCCATTAAGACCAAGTCTTAAACATCCAAAACAGTAGGAGCACCAAGAGTTAGGCCCTCGTAGCAATGCTAGGCTATCACCAAAAAGTGTCCCGTTTCTGATGATCTAACTGTCCAAAGATTTCTTATCAACTTGACTCAGTTCAACCCTATAGCTTTGCGTTAATAGTGGCTAAATACCTAATAAGCTCAAGTACTTGCCATTAAGACCAAGTCTTAAACATCCAAAACAGTAGGAGTACCAAGAGTTAGGCCCTCGTAGCAATGCTAGGCTATCACCAAAAAATGTCCCGTTTCTGACGATCTAACTGTCCAAAGATTTCTTATCACCTTGACTCTGTTCAATCCTGTAGCTTCAGTTGAATAGAACCAAAGTCATGGCAATCATGAAAGTACAATTAACACTGGCCCAAGAGAAGAGACACCTAGGAGTCTTTCAGCTACGCAGGAAGTAAAAATGCGACCGTCTTCGAGGTTCTTGTTATGCGACCGATTCTCGTTCCCACGTGGAACGACGTCCGGAACGTGGAAATGTTCACTTTCATTCCCGAGGCATCAGCCACGGAGTCGTCTGCCCGGTAACTAAGTTACATACGTCGAAAGCGGCCATCTTTTGATCCGTAATTACGGCGCTGTACACTACGGGGCCCCACACGCGCGGTAATTTCCCGCCGCCCCGGAAAAACGTCGACCTTTGCGAATCGGAATAAACATTTTCCGCAGTCTGTCTCTGTTCCCGCCGAGCTGTGGCTGGATGTAAGAGCGGGGGACCGCATAATAGCGCTGGTTTCGCCCGCGACCAATAGCGAAGCCACGTTTTCCTTTCACTGTCATTATGCACGCGTGCTTCTTTCACCTTGGCGGACCGCTTTCATACGTCGCCGGTAAATCACTGCTCTCGCGGATCGGCAACCCCGTAATTTATGGTCGTAAGATCCCCCTCGAAGACAGCCACGGCCCCGTCTATGAAGAGGACCAGACAGCCCGCCGCTATTGTATATGGAACAGATCCGGAGTTCCACTCCCTTGCTCCTCTTGGTATATAGGATGATCACAAAGTGATGTTACTGACTGTACAATTAGAACTAATGATGTATGGTGCTGCTGGAGTACTTTTTGAGGAAAGGGTCTATATACCTTAACCAAAAAAGGACTAGTTTTAGGGGTAAATGAGTTCAGTTACTAATGATGTATGGTACCGATGAAGTAGCTTCTTATGAAAGGGTCTATACATACCTCAAGCAAAGGAGAACTATTTCTAGGGGTCTTTACAGTTATTAATGATGTATGGTACCACTGGAGTAATTTTTTAGGAAAGGGTCTATATACCTTAACCAAAAAAGGACTAGTTTTAAGGGTAAATGAGTTCAGTTACTAATGATGTATGGTACTGATGAAGTAGCTTCTTATGAAAGGGTCTATACATACCTCAAGCAAAGGAGAATTATTTCTAGGGGTCTTTACAGTTATTAATGATGTATGGTACCGCTGGAGTAATTTATGAGGAAAGGGTGTATATACCTCAACCAAAAAAGGACTACTTTTAGGGGTAAATGAGTTCAGTTACTAATGATGTATGGTACTGATGAAGTAGCTTCTTATGAAAGAGTCTATACGTACCTCAAGCAAAGGAGAACTATTTCTAGGGGTCTTTACAGTTATTAATGATGTATGGTACCATTGGAGTAATTTATGATAAAAGGTTATAATATGTATAGATGAACCAAAGGACGACTACTTCTAGGAGTAAATAACTTTACAGTTAGCTAGTAATACTAAATAACTTACAGTATGTACCACTGAAGTAGTGTCTGAAGAAAGCTTGTATATATACTTCAACCAAAAGAGGACTACTGGGTATCTTGTGATTCAGAAAGAACTGTATTGATAGACACTATTAGAAAAGAGTTCAGTATATTTCTCTGACGTTAGATAATACAAAGGTAACAGTGAGGAGTCTGTACAAATAGTTTGTTCTTTACTTAGATTAGAGTTGAAGGGAAATTAATTCACTGCTCAAAGTTACTGATCCTATCTTGTTGTCTTAACTATCATTCTGTCTAGGGTACCTCTGGATTAGCTATCTTACTGTCTAGGATATTTAGGGTTTAGTTACCCTGTTATCTAGGGTACCTAGGACTTAGCTACTATCTAGGATATTTAGGGTTTAGATACCCTGTCTTCTAGGGAACCAGGACTTAGCTTCTGTCTAAGATATTTAGGGTTCATCTGCCCTGTCATCTAGGGTACCAAAATTTGAACAATTCTGTTATTTATGGTACTTAAGGTTTAACTAACCTGTCATCTAGGGTACCTAGGACTTAGCTTCTCCCTAGGATATCTAAGACTTAGCTACCCTGTTATCTAGTGTACCTAGACCTGAACTATCCTGTTATTTGGGGTACTTAAAGTTTAGCTACCCTAGTACCTGAAGTTGAGCTTCTTACTATTTTATCTTCAGCTGTCCTGTAACACAGCGTATACACATACTGTATTTAACATACGAACCGATGATTCGATGTAGAAGAAAAGTAGTGGATGGAGTGTCCTGGGAGTAGTCAAGTTACCTAACCGATCCTTGAATTACTCTGAGCAGTGTATTCAGTAAAAAATACCAACGATCCAAACAAAGGCGTTCAGTATCCTATCCTTAAACCGAAACGACGTTCGCATCATCGTCCTGGCAGTTCTTTGTCGTAAGCATCTTAGGCTCGTTTGCGATCAGAGTTTTCGTTTCGTCGGGACACACGGTGATCCTGTAACATATATTAAACAAAAGGAATTTAACTATGAACAAAAGTATAAAACGGGTATTCACCTGAAATTATTCTGCAACGAAGACACGCGCAGACTAAATAATCAGCAACAAGAGACTCTATCTGCTCGGTGAATCTCACTGTTTCGCGTGTTCCATCACAAGTACCATTAATTTTGTAAACGTGAGTGGGAAGTCGGATTAATTTTATTCGTAATTCTCCTGTCTGTTGCTACGGGATCTCGAGATACGTACCCATGAGAGGACTCCAAATTCTCGACGGTCAATGAATCTATGTAGACGCGGGAAGTGTGGAGAAGCCTCCACGTGAGCGGATTGAAAACAGAGGCTTGGTACTCCCACGAGATCTCGACCGCTTCCGGCTTCCCGACTATGTTACCAGCTAGGACTACGGTGTGCGTGCTGCCTGGCTCGTAATATTTCGAGTGACTACTGAGCTGCATCTTCTCCGTTTTCTGCCCGTTCTCGCCGATCACTCGGATCGCGAATGTACCGACCTCGCCGCCGTGATCTAGACTCTCGTTCGTCTTGGAAATATTTATCGTCATCTTGTAATGGCCCTCTGCAATCATTTTGGGGTTAGATTGGTCAAATAAAAAAAAAAAAAAAAAATACTACAGTGTTTCGTGGATTATTGTCAAAAACTCGGGTCCGCGACAAGAATCGAATAGGAGAAATTCTTCAGACTCTCGTAAATTTGTTTTTCCTTTTAGGACAAAGTATGCGTTTGACAGGTTCCACGGCCTCCTCCAGTGATGAAGATGACAAACTGACAAAAATCGTGTAGAACCAGTCGGACAGTGATCGACGGAATACTGTAGATAGGTTTAAGGAATTATTGAATGCACTAATGAGCAATCCACTAGTTTGTTGTCCAGTGGATTATTCATTGGTATGTACATACAGCTGATACTAACTGCAAAATGGCTTTCCTGATCCTGTCATTAAATACACCGAGGCATGATAGTTTCCTGGTTGAGCGTCCAACCCTAATCTCGGACAGTATTGGTTCACGCAATCGAAGCAGCTGCCTTCTTGGAACTTGTCCCAAGACGAGCAAGGGACCGTCAAGAATGGACAGGCTGAATTGATGCTCTCTATGAAGTACTCGTAGCTACGGATGTGATTGCAGCCGAGGAATCTCTTGATTCCTGAAATGGACAGGTAAACTGGCTGGTTTATAATCGAGGACACCGTACCCTGGCCTTTCATCTTCTCTCTTTATGGATTTCATTCGGATGATACAATAATGCCTCTCTACTGAGTCGTTTAATGGATCTTCCTTGTTGGTTACTGATCAACTTTTCATACATTACACGTTCAACGTACATATACATAAAAACATTTCTAATATCTGCAATGAAGATTGGTTTTCCATTATTCGAAACAGTATCAATTATAGAGGCATTACTGTACTTCCGTGTTACCTTTTATGGCCCAATTTTCATCATCTATCAAGTAATACACACGGTGTCCCAGTAAACGTGCGCACCTTAAATACCTCACTTGTTTTTGAAGGTACAAAAAAACTTGAGGGGACAATGTTATTTGGTTGGAAGGTCCAAGTACTGTGATAAACAACAAATTTTTCTCAAGGTCACTCTCAAGCTTTTTTTTTAAATGAGACTAAACATTTTTATCATCGTGGCACAATAGTTAAGGTCAAAACCAATCCAATGACCCATAGCAGCGTGACCTTCGTTTGACCTTAAGTACGATAAATCCACAAATGTAAGGAAGTAGATTTAAATAAAGCAACTACGATGCAGGGATCAGTGCAAAAATGCTTCGAAGTTAATGGACATCACCTTGAACATTTGTTAAAATAATTTTTCGAAAAATAAAAAATAAGTGAGATATTTAAGGTAGGACACCCTGTATACATTTTATCAGGTTCGTAGAATAAATACATTAAAATGAATACACGAGAAATTCTCAAGTGAAAATTACGGATACATAAATACTCTGAGATTTTCCTTATAAATTTGTAATCTTCGTTAACATGGGTATAATTAGAGCATCTTATCTCTTAAAGGAATGTTAGGAAATAGCTTTCTCACCGCGGAAGAAGCTCCCACTTTCCAAGGTGATGGAATTTAGAACACCCTCGTTGCAACCAGGCTGATTGCGGCCGCCGTTCGGATAGAAATCGATATGCGAGACGGGTTGGGTGATACCGAGGCCGCCGCTGATAAAAGGATTGCAATCGGTATGGACGGCCGTGACAAACGTCGCGTCCGTTGGATCGAGCCGCACCATGGTCGACGTGTTGCTGAAATGCGGTTCGGCGGGATCGAGGCCTTTTGGACAGGGAAACGAAACGTGAGAAGCGTTCGGTGAACGTTGCTGCAACGCCGCGGTTGATCCACTCAACATTTCGATGCGTTTTTTTTATGAAATCGATCTCTGGCTAGCTACCCGAATTACGTATTTTTCCACTCAATAGGCGCAAATTTAACCATGGGCGTAACCAGGGGGCAAATGCGGAAAAATGTGGCTATTGTCCCCTGCTACAAGAAAACAATTGGATTTTGTTCAACCCCCCTCCTTTCCCAAAGTTACAAAATATTGAAGAAAAAAGGGAGCGTTAAAAAATTTTATTCACTTCGACGTTCCAGCAATTATCCTCCTTTCTTTTGCTTCTACTTTTAATACATCCTAGGAAAAATTATATTCGTCGTGGCTTTGGATTTGTTAACAACAAATATCATTAAGTATTCGAAATTATGGTTCACCAAAACTATTCGTGAGATAAAATGTATTTTTCTTCTTTAGAGACGGATAAATTGATTTGTTGAGTTAGAAAGTGAGTACTTCTGACAATTTATATTCTTCCAGGCTTTAGATTTTCAGATCAAGAAAATAAAGTAAAAAATTTCGTTATTGAAAATTATGGACCCACAGAATATTCGTGAAAAGAAATTAACTATTCTTCTTTGGGGACTGGTAAATGAATTTATTAAGTTAGAGAATGAGTAGTTTTTGATCTCTAGGTGTACATAGACTACTGATACAGAGTCTTGACCGTTGAATTTGCGATGTTCTGATCGAGTAACTCATATCACACGATCGTCACGTAAGAATTACCACATGTCCCTGATAAATGTACGCGAACCGTGGTGTGTTACATCCATATTGCGCAAAAGCGGAAGTCATTTTTCGGTCTGACGAGATACTAAATTAAAAGCCTACGAGGAAAGTAACCGTTACCGCATTCGTGACAGGACTTTTACGTTTTCCCGTAGGAAAGCTCCTTGTACTGTTTTCCTGGTGCACCAGGAAACGAAATATGTAATTAACTTTTTTTAACGACTTATGAATGGACTGTTTGTGTGAATCGTAACGTGCGGTCATTTGAAGCGTGTTCGTTGACCCAGAAGTTTCATTCTTATAATTTGACATTGAAAAGATCAAAATTATCTGAAATTTTCTCCAAGTCCTCAAATCTTCGGTAAGCACAGAGGCTGAACAGTTCACGAGACTAAATAATTGTTAGTCAAGTGTCAACTCGTTCAGGAAGAAATATTATATTTTAGGTAAAAGTTACCTTAATATTTTAGGTAAATGTTACCTAAAAATTACCTTAATATTTGAGGTAAATGTTACCTAAAGATGACCTTGACCTTGAAATTTGTTGTTAAAGACACTCCTCTGAGTACGAGGAGAGTTTTGGGATTAAAAAGTTATTAGCAAAAAAATTTTGCAAGATATATCAGTTATTTTAATCAGTTTCTATAACCAACTTCGATCAGTATAATGCTTCAGAGTTTTTTAGAGACAGCTCAAGAAAAAAAAGTCATCTAAATTTGGTTAGAGACAGTTAAGAAAAAAGGTACCATTGTTCTTTTAATAACTTTTTAATAAACACTTGATAACTGAAACTTTCTGAAGGTCACTCAGTAGGGTGACCTTGACAACACATGTCAAGGTCATCGATCATTTCACTTATCAATATTACTAAAGTACGACACTAAACTTTTTAATAAAAAAAACTAGCTGCAATTAAAACTTCTTGTGGGTTACTCAACAGTGTCCTCAACAACATATGTCAAGGTCAAGGTCATCGGAGCTGCACCCCCTAAACGTAATTTTTAAGATGCTTTATTATGAAAATCGGAATTTCCACGTTTAATCAGTTGAAAATGACAAGGTAGTTTATTTAATCTTTTAATCTTTAACAGTCAATTTGTTGCCAGGGATTTAAGAACTGATTTTAAGTAATTTAGTGCTCCTGATCCTCAATATGCCATTATTTTTTCTTGATTGTCTCTACTTCTTGAGATTTGCATATGTTTTAAATATTGATGCAAAGCAAGGAAAAAATGTCTATGATTGTAAATTAATTTCATTTATAAAATGCCATAAGAAGAGATAATGTAATTACATGGGAAGTAATGGAAAATTATGAAAACCTTTGTTTGCCGGATTTTCTTCTATATTTTTGATTGTTGAGAGTCCCTCTGCAGGCTCCAACAGTAACAAAATAAAATCACTTGTATCATTTTTTACTTTGGATACCACTAACCCGAAAGTAAACAAATTCAAATTAAAACAACAAAGCAAAAATAGTAAGTACTTCAAGTCGACAGAAGCGTTCAATTTCGACAGTTTCGATTATTTTGAAAAGCTAAAACGAAGATGTAAAGCGAAATCAGGATGCTCAAATACTCTGAAACTGATTTTAAATCCCTGACGAGATGAAAAAAATTTAATTGTCCCCCTAGTGTTATCCTGGCTGATCCTACCGCCGAGGCCCAATCGGCTCTCTTGCCACTTCTTGGTACCTCGTGCTCCCTTATTCCAGTTGTTTACTGGATCTTGTCTTCGGGCGGGTTTAAGGGCGTCGATGCGTGTCCAGTTCCCCCCTCAGGTTATCAATAACCGTACCGCCCAACAGCTACAAAACCGACAATGTACATACCCTGTCTCTAGCCCCATTTCTACACGTGACGCGTGTCTAACAGGTCTACATTATCACCCTGATATTCCACCCTGTCCTGTAGTCCCCATTTTTCCGTGACACCCGTTCCCTCTGTCTTCTCCTGATGTCCTGGTAATTCCCGATGGGATCGATAGCTTACGTAACAGTGGCTCAGGGCCAACCCAATTGGCGCAACCCCCGTCCCATCCATTAGTCGATTGATCCGAAATGAGAAAAGGTTCTCATCGCCATTGCTTGAGATTCCATTATCATTTTTTAGAAATATTTTTCATACATGGTTACATTATTATTGAATATAATATCTTTTCGTCGACAGTAAGGTCCTTTTTGTAAATTTCAATTTCTTTTGGCTTCCTGCAAGATAACGAGTATATGTTGTTTAGTAATTTTAGATCCAGGATGTTGGTGTAGTTTTTAGAACTACAATGGGTCCAATTGAAATTTTGCTGGGTTTAATAGTTATGCTTCTTGGCAGATAATTAACTTCTGAGGCAGTTTGTGTTAATAATAGGAAACACGCCATGGAGTTCCTCGTCGAACAAAATGGCTGGTACAGTTTTTCGGCGGGGTTTCTCTTTCTTCGACTGTTACCCTGATCTTTTCTGATTCGATCGGCTATCTTCGGACGTTTCCGTGAGGATCTGGCTGCTCTGGCGGGGATACTTCTATTCGGAGGCGTTCATGGTGGCACGATCGAGTGGAATAAGACTACTATGAACGGGATGACATTCGATAATTCTCGACGAAAAAAAGCTATGCAATTGTAATTGCAGTTAGAATCACGTCCTATACTGACGTATGATTAATGACAAGAAATAAAAAAACTAGCACGATGTAAGTGATGCACAGTGCCCCGTAAGGACGCGCCTTGCAAGATTATTTTCTTAAATAAAATTTTTATATTAAAGATTTATATTAAACTAAATTATTAATAACAATATTATATTTTTATTATTTTTATTACCCGAAAATTACCCACTGTTGTCTTTAAAAAAATATAGGGGGGGCGCTATAAAAGAACTTCGCAGCAGGGCGCCGACTACTCTAGGGCCGGCCCTGTCTACGTGGACATCTAACTGGTAATAGGAAGAATTGATCAAAGATCCACGGACTCACCCGTAATTCTTCCGAGATTAACCTCATACGTGTGCTTCATGAAGTACCCAATGTAGCCACAAGTGTGCGCACCGAGGCTGTGCCCGATGCAATGCATCAACGATGGGTCGACACCGGCGATCTTGGCCAATTGAGACGCCATGCGAGCTGTCATCGCACCGACGAGCCTCGTGTTCGCAACAGCCTGCGTGTAGGGAGGACCTGCCCCACCGATCCAGTTAACGATCACCACATTGCAATCTTCTCGCACCAGTAGCTCCTTCATAGTCCTCTGTGAATAAACATTAAATTCGAAAAACAGTGGACTCTAAGTATATTGCCACAGTCGTGGTTGTAGGGGAGTAAAATGGCAATGAGTTCAGAGCGCCCTCTATGCTAACAAGGAAAGGCACGGAAATGTCCCCCTCCGATTTTGACGAAACTTCGTATGTCTGTTAAGCAGTCAAAAATAAGGCATACGTATTTTTTTTTATCGGCTGAGACGCGACTTTAAGGGATGAAACCACCACTCGAAATTTCGACCCGAAAGTACTATCTCGTAAACCAGAGGAGATACATGAAAAATTCTAATGGACGAGGTTTGCGGTTTTTTGTGTTGAATAATATGGTGCTAAAAAATTGTCCAAAATATAATTTGTTTATAACAAAAAAATTTCGGATCGAAACCTCAACTCGGCGCCTGCGCAAAAGCTGGATCAGAAAACTTTGAAGACCTAAGGAATCTATGCACAATAAGGTACCCAACGACAAGGAATTTGTTTTTAAATATTTTTCATACAGAAATATGAAAATTACCTACCATGACCCACGTGTTATCGCCGTTGTCAAGGAACCCATGAACGATCAGGTAGAGATTGTTTTTCTTTCGAATGGCCGCCTCACGTAAGGTTCCGAATTTGTCGATTTTTAGTTCGTACGGCCCTCCCACGTTCTCACGGGTGTAGAATAGATATCGGGGATTTATGCTGTCCGGTCTGGCGGGGAACGTGGACACTGGTCTGCTTTCCCCGGACCACGGTGGTCCGATGTAGAAACAGCCGTATGGTTCGAAGCATCTCCACATGTACCAATCTATGAAAAAAAAAAACGAGAAAAATTCGATAAAAATTTTAGCGAAATCTAACAGAGATCATAAATTGTTCGTGGAATAGATACAGTGAATCCTTGATGAGTGTTCGAAGGTTCCTCGAGACTGAACAATAAAACATAAACTAATTCCAAGTTCTATCACTGTGCAAAACAGCATTAAAAAGATACCGTTACACCTGGGGACTTCTTGTCAGTTCTGAGAAGCCTTCGGACAGTCATCGAGGATTTACTGTATTTCCAGATCATTCTAACAAAACATGGTTATTAATTTTCATTCATGTAATCTAGATCTTAAGAGAGGTTGGACCATCTTGGTGGGTTAAAAAGTATCTCATGGATTTTAATTTTATTCCGTAGTTTAAGAAAAAATGGAAGTGTTCGAGGTATCGAAGTTCCCCCTTACTAGAAATAAAATTCCAATAATGGGATGTTCATGGGACATTGGAAGTTGCTCTGACTCCTTAACAATTCTTTACCAACTCTGTTCGGTAGAAATTCCAGGTAAATACCGGAACCTGCATCGAATTCCTCGGTCACGTGTACGCGATCGCCGCCAGGCCGGTTAATCGTTAATCCGACACGAAGACAAAACACTCGGCGCGGCGTTCGAGGAACTGATAGGGTGCAGCGTTACAGAGATAACACTAACGCGACATAGATAACCCCTGGGCGAACATGGCAATTCGTTGCGCGTTGTTAAAGTGTTGATCCACTGTAAATAATGATACATCGCGGCGGCTTCTTCTGGTCAGATATGTGTATGGGTGTCGTCACGCTTGCGTTTCTAGCCGTTGACGTGTTTTGTCCGCCCCGTTGCAAGCGTACTTCGCGATACTGGCAAATACTTTTACTTATCTCAAAAGTCAATTTTGGAACAAAATTTTATTTCAACGTATTGAATAAATTTTCATTCCATATATATTAATAGTAACACAAATGGCACAGTAAATCCTCGTTGAGTGTTCGAAGCAGGGCCGTTCTTGGTTTGTTGGCCGCCCGGGTGCAGAAACAATATGGCCGCCCTTATTAATTTAATATTATTTAATTACTGCTGTGTTTACTTTTATATCTATATACAATTTCTTTATTAGTTTTTATCTAAGCATCATATGGTGCAAAAAGTATGTTTATGTAGTTTTAATACATATAATACATGCAAAAGGAATATTTTCGAAATTTTATTTTCATAAAATGAAACAAACATCATTAAAAAAGAAACGGTGTTATTTAAAATTAATATTTTAGTCTACATATAACTACAAAACTAACGTATAGTGTTCCAAAGATTACATATAAAATTAATTTTGTTTGAATTCTGTTTGTTTGAAATTTTAGGAATCATCAAAAGAGTATTCGTTGGTTTCAGAATTCCAAGTTCTGTCACTGTACTGAACCTCATTAAAAAATCAGCGTTACACCTGCAAACCTCTTGTCAGTGCTGAGGAGCCTCGGGACACTCATCGAGGATTTACTGTATTACAGTTTACTCGAATCTTTGTTCTATCACATTCTACAGTCTAGAAAAAAGAGGCATTTATTACTAGTTTTATGTTTAGTATGCATAAACATTATTTCAAAATTCAACCTAACTTTTTAGAGTTCCAAGCAGAGATGGGCAAACTCATTATCTAGATAAAAAGTTTCGAATAACGGATAAAGGGTTAAAAAAAGTATTTCGTCATTTTTAATTGTTTAAACATGGAAATGTCAATTTTTATAATGAAATAATACTTCTTCATGAATGATTATTAATTATGTAATCTCATTGACTGTTTAAAGCTCAGAACGACAGTCTTAGATACTGCTGCCTTTCACTGTGTATTATTCGAATAAAATTCTGCCCAACTCTGGTTCCAAGTAAGGGGAAACCAAACATGGTAATCTTACCCGAATTCTTAATGGGTCTAGGCCCAAGACTCAATTTGTAAACCTAGATGAGTATAAAGAATGTGATAGGGTGTTAGAAGTATTTAGTTAATTGCTTTTACAAAAAATAACTATTCCGTCGAAGAAACTTTTCTATCTACTCACTGTCCTGCAAATCGAACCGATTCTCCTCCTCCTCCGGCGTTAAAGTGGTCGTGATCACGTTCTGTTTCTCGAAGTTAGCGTCCACCGCCTTCGATCCCGATTTCTCAGGTAGGGTAGCTATCACGTTCGCTGTCAACGCGTATATCAGCATCGTCTCGTTCAGGAACATTTTTGCGTCACGAGTCTATCTCTCCTGAGCTCTACAAACGCCGACAACAAAGGACCGTTCAAGCAACACGAACAAAGTCAATTAATCCCGGTCCCCTAAGTCATCAAGTTTCACATTAGCTCCGTAACCAGTGGCACCGTTAGTTCCAAAGAGACTTTCTTTTTCTTCATGATTTCCTCACACCAGAATAATAACGAACTATTTCTTTGATTTAGTAGAAATCGAATATTTTACTTTCTATGATCTACGGATGACAATCCACTAGGAATTAGGCTTCAAAAACAGAGGGACAACAAGTAGCTACTTCTGTCTTTGAGAACTTCTCGTGACTCTGGCATCCGTGACGATCCTCCGTTCCCCGGTGTACGATAGTCGGTCAACGGATGGCAATAATATTAGAAACAAAAAAAATCGATTGACGCAAATGGCGATATCGTGACCGGAGGAGCCTCGACAACAGGGTGTTGAAAAATAAACGAAAACCCCAGACGTCTGTATCGCTGACTGACGGTTGGGAGACGTCGTAATAGATTCACTTTTGCAACATCAGTGATCCATCCAGTAACATCTGACAGAGACTTCAATCTTCATCCAGCTAACGAACCTTTTCACCAAAAGCACGAATCTTCAGAAATATTCCACCACGTGCGGGCCCAAAATTCCAACTGAAGTCTCCTAACTAATCCCTTAGCACACAATGGGCCCAGAATGATAGGTCCTCAATCCTATAGGACAACAAATGATCCACGATCTTTTCCTTATTTACAGTTGCTGGTGTTCGTGAAAAGTGGAAAAACGTTGCGAAAGAAGGGGTTCAAAGTCCAAAAGCACGAATCTTCAGAAATATTCCACCACGTGCAGACCCCAAATCAGCTGAAGTCTCCTAACTAACAGGTCTTCAATCGTATAGGACAACAAATGGTCCACGATCTTTTCCTTATTTACAATTGCTGGTGTTCGTGAAAAGTGGAAAAACGTTGCGAAAGAAGGGGTTCAAAGTCCAAAAGCACGAATCTTCAGAAATATTCCACCACGTGCAGACCCCAAATCAGCTGAAGTCTCCTAACTAATAGGTCTTCAATCGTATAGGACAACAAATGGTCCACGATCTTTTCCTTATTTACAGTTGCTGGTGTTCGTGAAAAGTGGAAAAACGTTGCGAAAGAAGGGGTTCAAAGTCCAAAAGCACGAATCTTCAGAAATATTCCACCACGTGCAAACCCCAAATCAGCTGAAGTCTCCTAACTAATCCCTTAGCGACCAATAGGTTCAGAATGATAGGTCCTGAATCGTATGAGACAACAAATGGTCCACGATCTTTTCCTTATTTACAGTTGGTGTTCGTGAAAAGTGGGAAAACATTGCGATACGTTGAAAGGGTTCGAAGTCCAAAAGCACGAATCTTCAGAAATATTCCACCACGTGCAGACCCGAAACTCCAACTGAAGTCTCTTAACTAATCCGTTATCGCCCAATAGATCCAAAATGATAGGTTTTCAATCGACAACAAATGATCCACGATATTTTCTTTATTTACAGTTACTGGTGTTCGTGAAAAATGGAAAATCGTTTCGGAACGTTGAAAGGGTTCAAAGTCGCGGTTCCGAGTTCACCACCGGTCGAGCAACCACCGCTTACTAATCACTTAAAAATACTGTCGCTCCGTCCGCTTTGCTTTATCACCCGTCCAGCCCCACTCCGAAACTGTGTTTCTCCTTGTTTCCGTTTCTTTTGCCGCCGGACAGAGGATGGGACAGAGTCACGGGGGAGCTTGGATAAAGAGCGCTACTTCGCGGAACCGGACGACAGACCACATGTGGCGCAACCCAGTCTGAAAACGTCCCTTTTTCTAACCGAACTGGTCCGTCTTTCTTTTGACCTCTGTTCACAGGAATCCCTTTATCTGGACGAACGTACCGCCGAGACGTCTGCTGTCCTGATTCGTGACTAATTAAGAACGATCATTGGCGGGACGACTCGCTAATTGGCCTGTGCCCACATATTTCCTTTATATTGTTCCACTTGAAATAAAAATATGTATTGTTCTTGTTTAGGGATTGATAAACATATTTGTTCAGTAAGGAAGTGAGTAGTTTTAACAATTTTTATTCTTCAAGGCTTTAGATTTTCAGATCAAGAAAATAAAGTCAAAAAGTTTTGTTATTTAAAATTATGGTCCCCATAGAATATTCCTGAAAAAATGTATTTTTAAATTATTACACTTGAAATAAAAATATGTATTTTTGTTGTTTAGGGATTGATAAACATATTTGTTCAGTAAGGAAGTGAGTAGTTTTAACAATTTATATTCTTCCAGGCTTTAGATTTTCAGATCAAGAAAATAAATTCAAAAATTTCGTTATTTAAAATTATGGTCCCCATAGAATATTCCTGAAAAAAATGTATTTTTAACTTATTACACTTGAAATAAAAATATGTATTTTTGTTGTTTAGGGATTCATAAATATATTTGTTCAGTAAGGAAGTGAGTAGTTTTAACAATTTTTATTCTTCCAGGCTTTAGATTTTCAGATCAAGAAAATAAAGTCAAAAAGTTTGTTATTTAAAATTATGGTCCCCATAATATATTCCTGAAAAAAATGTATTTTTTAATTGTTACACTTGAAATGATTATCATTATGTTGAAAATAAGATAAGAATAATCGTGAAATTTTTTTCAATTATAACGGATCAAATTTCGGTAAACATTTAAAATAAGGGAGTCACCTCCGATTTCGATGATTTTTTAATATGTTGTCAAGGTCATCGCCCTGAGTAGTATTTTGAAAGTTATAGTTGGAGGTCGACCTTTGTAAAACATTTATTATCAAAAAAAGGTGTAGTATCGTTATTTAGTAATATTAATTAGTAAAATGACCGAATACCTTCACATATGTTGTTAAAGTCACCCTACTGATTGACGTTCAAAAAGTTTCAGCTATCAAATGTTTATTAAAAAGTAATTACAAGAACAACGGTACCTTTTTATTGAATTGTCTCTGACCAACTCTGAATGACTTTTTTTTCCTTGAACTGTGTCTAACCAATTCTGAAAAACTGAATAATGAATTTAAAGACAAATACTCCTAGACCATCATTATGTTGAAAAAAAAGATAAGAATTGTTATGAAATTTTGTTCAATTATACCATGGATCGAACCTCTATTGTAACCCATAGATACTGGGTCTGAGTCAATTTTGACCAAAGATTTAAAACATTTCATACACTGTTCAAATTGCAAAAACTAACGAAGGATGACCCGAACTTGCAAAAAGACCAGTAAATTTGAAAGAAAACGAATCTAAAAACCCCTGGACCATTTTATCCAAAACGTAGGGACTCGGAATGATTGAAAAAACAATTTCTAAGAACGTGAAAGTGATGTGCACCGACGAACAAACACTGCTTCCGCTAGGGGAACAAGTCAGGTAGGTGAAGGGCCTCCTAACATTTGGTTTTAGGAGTTACTGAAATTTATGTCAAATTAACATTCGGTTTAACATTTATTTCAGTACTTGAAATAAATTTACTAAGTGGTAGGAGACCATTAGGAGACCTTTTTTCTACGCCATTTTTTTTCAACGGTAAGCTTGCGTGAATGAATGTACCTGCATGGCGATCGATCGACGTGCGTGTGGCTCGAGTAGTGTCCTGGATCAATAGAAGGCGCAATGGGGGTTCCGTTTCTCGCACGGTTAACTTCGTATGTTGGGAAACCAGAGCCCCTAGCATCCCCCATCGCCGTTTCAACCCCCGTGGAAAATAGCCTTCTATTAACTCATACGTTCCTGGCGACGAACACCCCTAAGATCGCTCTCGTGTTTGCGCAAGGGATGTTGCGAAAATCACCCTAAACGTTGCGATCAACCTCTTTGATAATCGTGCTCCCTTGGTGCACGAACCGTACGAGTGTTGCATCGTGATTACCGTGAAAAGTATGAATGACACCCCCTGTCACGTGGTGTCAAAAACGGTCACGTGACGTTGCTACCCTTAACGTACATTAACCCCCCAATTTTTGTTTAACGAAAAAGACAGGACGATTATAGATTTATATTGTACGCTGTTGAGTGTGAAATCTCAGGCTGGATTAAATTTTAATTACCAATTAATTGTAGGATCTTAGAACCATTATTTCGCCATTTACCATTCACTTGGATTCGATCAATGGCGTTTTTTCTCTGCACACTACGACGAATACCAAGTGAGGTTAAAGATACCTTTTACAAGAAAATTGTTAATAATAATTCCATCTTCAATAATCAGACTTTTAATTATTCTTGATCTGTTGTGATTGATCGAATTTTCTGGTCTTCGATGCTGAAGTTGACGACAGTGACCCGACGATATACTTTTTTCTGAAATATTATGCAAATTCGAAAGTAACAATGTAAGATTTCGTATGGTTGTTGATTAATAAATATTATATTTCATTTGAAATTGTATTTGGATAAATTATATTTATTAAGTTTTGGTGTTTATATTGTATTTTTTTGCTGCACAAATGACATGTTAATGGTGCCATGGTGGAAACTGGGAACGCGTGTAGGCGTGTGTGTGTGTGTGTGTGTGTGTGTGGTCTTGCAAGAAACATGGCGGACAGCTGATCCCGCTTCGTTCGATGCCGAAGGGGCCTTCAGGACCCTTGGAACACTCCTTCTAACCCCTGCTACCCTGTTACATTGCCCTATCGAATCCCCATTCACCTACGTGGGTATTCGTGCTAGGGTATCCTGCGGATAACCCTGCTGAAAACAAAATGGCGGACGCCCCTCGAAGATAGCCCCAGATCGAACTGTACATAACTCTCTTGAGCTTCGATTCTGCAACGAAACTTTCTTTAACATTAAAAAAAAAGACGCTCTAGAACTCTGATCTTAACATAAACAATTGAAAATAACAATTAAGGAAACACTGACCGAAATTTCTATAAAGTCATCTTCATTTTCGTAGATATTTTCAAAATACCACGAATTTTATTGCTCCATCGTATCTGTTTTTTTATTTTCGTTTAAAAAAATGGGGTTACACTAGGCATTAATATAGAAATAGTGAAAAACA